TATCACGGTACTATGTTATCGTGACCAGCCTGGGGCCGGACTGGACCACGATAATACCGTGCGTGCTATGGGACCTTTATTCACTGCGAGTACCCATCCCCATCCTCCTGCGGATGGGCCCTCAATCGCTAAAGGTTCCGAAACGGCACTGTTTTGGTTTCAACTTTACGGTTTGAGCGTTGCTCCTCCTGCCTTGCGTGGTTCCTGGATCCAAGTCTGCACCTGGTGGACGCTGTCTCCATTGGAAGTATCACAACACTATCACAAACACTCAGAGAGCCGTTGTAATCACACACACAATATCTGTATTCACTTTCATAAGCACACGGCGAACACTTATCACACGAAATAACACTCGCGAACCACACACTACCAACCTGAATACCACAAACACAGTTTACCTGATAATTCTGAATTTTTCTCCACCACTTCGTCTCGTTAGATACATGGTAAAACAAGTAAATGTGTTTATATCGATTTCTGTTATGTATGCCTTAATATTGGTAAGTCTAGTATTTGGAACTGAAGATGGAACTTCATTTTCTGTTGGTACTCTAGACTTTTGGGGTCATGTCTGAATACTGTTAGGTGAATCACATCGCCTGTTCAGTACCCAACTAATCTTAACAGTAATGTAACTTGTAACCTAACACAATAGAGTAAAATATTTTAATGTGAAAGTACACCATTCTTATTTCCTATTAATACAGTAAATAACTAGACTTCTTCTTCTATGGCGCAACAGCCCGATGTCGGGCCTCGGCCTCCCTTATCAAACCCCTCCATTCCTCTCTATCCTGCGCTCCTTTCTTCCAGTTCCCTACACCCATTAACTTCTTCGCATCTTCTTCCACCGCATCAATCCATCTAGTTCTTGGTTTCCCAGTACGTCTCCTACTACCTATTGTACTATATAGTATTTTCTTTGGGATACGCTCCTTAGCCATTCTTTGTACATGCCCAGCCCATTGCAATCTTTCAAGGTTTATCGTTACTGGGATCTCTGGCTCCTTATACAATTTGTATAACTTTATTATATCTTATTCTCCATATCCCATTCTCTTTTATCGGTCCATAAATCCGTCTCAGGATTTTCCTCTCGAATGAATTGGTGA